CCCAGAGAAAAATGTAGCTCATAACCCAACATCTAAACATTGTTCAAATTGGCAAAGCTGTACTAAAAGAAAAAATCCTAGTTCTTTTAAAAACAATATCAGAGACACATTTTTGTTGTTTCTTGGTAGAAGCAGGTACAGGCAGTCCCTGGGTTCTGAACTAGTTCCATTCCTGAGAAAATGGAAATTCATCTTTAAGTCAAACTGGTATGTAAATCAGATCATGTGCATTCGGCCCTCCTCATTTGTGGGGTTGGGGTGCGGGACCCCCACGAAAGTGGAAAAATCGCAAATATCTCTAAGCCCCTCACCACCCCAAATCACCAGTGCCTCCTCTTTGCAGCAGGGAAATGCTGGAGAGATTTCTTTCTCCAGATGGGTGGGGCATCCTTTGGAGGTCTCCCTCTCTCCCCTTTGATTCCTCTCTCTCTATTGTGATTCCAATTTTCTGCAGTAATTTTTTTAAAAAATTAATAGGCGTTATGACAGTTCATTTGTAAGTATGGATTGTTCTTGACTTGAGGATTGCCTGTACATGAAGGCTGATAGGCTTTCTGCATTTTGTTTTGTTTTGTTTTTTTGCATGAAATTGCTATTTTAAGAGGGAGGGAAGGAGAGAATGAGGGAGAGAGAGATCTAGTTTATCCTTGCAGATAGCCTTTCAATTTTATTCCAGTTGGAATAAAAAGCATCCTGTTTGCAACTGTGGTTAAGAAAGTGCCTCTGGAAAAACCCACAGGAAGGGTATGAAGGCAGCAGACTTACCAGGTTGTGAGGTCCTAAAATCTGATAATCTGAAGCAGGCTATTTCTGACCATCAAGGTTTTATTTAGTTATCATAGCTAATAGTCATCAATAGAGATGTCCTCCAGAAATTTATCTATCATTTTAAAGTCTTCTGAGTGCATTCCCTTCATCTAGTGACTGTAGATTAATCACGGATTATGTAAGCAGAACATATAAGGTTGAATATAATTAATATAATTAATATAATATTAATATTAAATATAATATTAAGCAGAATATTATATTTGTCCTTTCCGTGTTCAAGCTGAGACAGTGTTGACAAGAAAATGGGCCTCTGCCATTCCTATCATTTCATCCTCATAATCCAGATTGGACCCCTCTTCAACCACCATCTGTATGGGACAGGGAGCTTCTATTTGAGCAAATGGATATGCATTTTCTCTCCATGTAAACAGCCGGATTGTGACCATGGAGAGGAATTGATTAATACCTCCCCTCCCTTTAACACAAACCCAATCCAGCTCACCCATGGCACCACTCTGCTGCCCTGGATGGTTCTTTCTTTCACTGGAGGACAATCCATGTGACAATCCATCCATAAAACGTTGTTTGGCCCACCAGTTTCAAATGTTGGGGCATTTCTTTCACAGTCACTTTATCTCCCCCCTCCTTCCCTTCCAATACACACTTCATAGTCATTGTTTTGCATAACTTCTAGTCTGAGGAATAGTTTTGGAGAACAGCACGTGCTCGTTTAGAAATTTGCAACATTTGCGCTGGTCCTAATAAAGGCATTACCCTGCTGTGACTTAAAAGATGGAACTTTAACCACCAAATCCATCTTATTGACCGTAGAGACCGTGATAACAGACATGAGAAAACATAGTTAATAAGACAGCCCAGCTACAGTGGCCACCTTCTTTATCAGTGAAACCAGAAAGTACAGCCTTATAAAGTGATAAGAGAACACAATTTATTATTGTCGATGTTCAATGGCCTCATCCAGAGCCCATTAAAATACACTAAAATAATCTCAGCACCATTCCTTTCTGTTCATTTTGTCTTCATATGAATTAGCTGATTCCCTCACCACTTAAGATAATGGCTGTTGGACTGCAACTCCCATATATCTAGCCAGCAAAATCAGTAGTGAAGAATGATGGGAACTGAGTACAAAAGCCTCTGAAAGGCCAGACATTGCCCATCTCTGAAGTGGGGGAATGGTTCAGTGGTGGTTCATGTTCATTCCTTGGTATGGTACCCATACTTATAAGGCTCTCTTGCCACCAAACAACAAAGATGCCCATGAGTTGAATTGCATAATAATTGCAATGATACCCATCTTGTGAGTTGTCCTTAAAACTCTTTATGAGCTGTGCCAAACTCCACAGAAAATTGATCCTGTGGATCAAGCCCAAACTGCATTGGAGGCCATGCCTGGCTCATAATGAGCTCAGCCTGGGCACAGGTTTGCCCACCCCAACTCCGTTCTCATCCTCCAAAATCTCCCTGGCAGCTGTCTAAGTCTCCATTACAATCTCATGCCTGGGATGCTGAAACCACAAGATTCTGAGTGCCACAGGCCATGGGAAATGTTCTCCTCCAGGTGCCCAAGTACTATGGTGGATTTCAAAGTTCCCGCAAGCTACATGTGGCATCATCCCATGCTCCCAGATCATAAGAATGATCCCAATGGTGGCTTTAGGACAGCAACAGCCTGAATTTCAGAATGGGCTCAGGGATAGAACTGTGCTGGTTGCCCATTTTTGGAGAATAACTTATATTATCTGAGCCTACTCTAAGCTAAGGTGCCTTTCCCCATCACTTAGGTAAGCCAAACTATTAGACTTCTGCCAAGGACTTTATGGAGCTTTTGCCAGACAAGAAGACGGTGCCACTTGTCAGTATTCTGACTGTGCTGTAGAGGCAATACACAGCTACGAAGACAATAGTCGGATTCAATATATGTCTACCCTGGAATATCAATTGGATGTTCAATACGTATTTCATCCCCAATAAATGCACTGTTATTATATCACTACATTTATATACTGCCTGTTTCCTCCTGCAAGGAAACCATGGTGGCTTACAGAATCCTCCCCTTCCCCTTGATTTTATCCTCACGAAAACCCTGTGAGGTAGGTTAGGGCGAGAGTCCATGACTGGCCCAAAGTCACCAGTGAGTTTCATGTCTGAGTGAGAACGAGAAGCCGGATTTCCCAGATCCCAGTCCACTGCTCATCACTACACCACACTGACTTTTATTTGATTTCAATTACCAGCTTTTTTTATCATGGGCTTGAAAACATGTCATGTCTCCTTGTGGATTTCTTTTCCCTTTGGAACTTCCTTGGGCTCCTTTGAGAACATTACCCCCTTGCCTAAATAGACGATGGCCTGCCTTTGCACAAAGTCGCCCTACAACACAGATCTCTCTGCTTCTGCCTCGCTTCCTGCCATTAGGTGCTAATGGGAATATAAGCAAAGAAGCAGATTGCTGGCCAAAGCATTGCTTGCATGTCAGGCTTCATTTCCAGAGCAGGAACTGAAATCTCCCATGGCCCCTCATCTCAGGTTATATATTAGCCTTTCCCTATTATTTTCGAAAGGGTGTTTTAATTCATACCCAGTCCTTATTGTTCAGGGAATACATAGTGCAACAACAACCCAGGGGTGGGAAAACAGCCTTGTTTGCAGATCCATTTAATCTATTTTTTAGCCAGGCACAAACTCTTACCTTTATTTAACATCTTAATAACAAAGAATATTCTTGCACTCCTGGGATGCCAAGAATTACCTCCAAATCCCCTCACTCTCTGAGATATTCAGTCAAAATTGACCTGCTTTTTATTCAGTCTTTCTGGTTTCTTGTTGTAGACCCAAATACTTCTGCTTATGGTTAAGGGCTCTACTGAAGCCATTCTCAGCCTGCTAGTATTTTATATGTAATAAACATAGATTTGAAGGAATTATTCCTCTTTAGCCTTTCTTTGGAGTTTCTCCATAGGAACACCACCACACATAATTTAATGTATTTTGAATGCGAGTTCCCAGCATACAAATGAAGGCAATCCAATCTGCATAAGTGTGTAGCACAGGGAGAGATGTATTAGGCTGCAACACCAAATTATGACGCACCCTGAGGTCTGAGCTGAATTCATCCAAGGCATGGCTTCCAGGCAGCTGTCCAAGCAGTTCTAAAATACCAGCTCGAATCTGATTTGAGCAAAACTGTGATTTGGCATGATATTTGATTCAACAAGCTGCAGTAATGCCATGACCTAATGGTCCAAGCTTAGCCTAAACTCTAAGAGAAATCAGAGGCAAGTGAGCCATCAGACCCTTCCCAGTCCTGCTAACAGCAAACCAGCGGCTCTATTCCTATCTTTTGGCTGCTTCTACTAAACAACCCTTTAACCTCTGGAGCTGAATTAGTACTCCAGACAGTACTTTATACTGGGAAGTACAGTCTGGAACTTCAGCATGCTAAAGAGAAAGTTATTCCAAAATGGATTTCATTTCTCCTGATGTTAGTGTTTTAGTGAGAGAACAAATAACTATTCAGAAACATCCACTGATTTTAGAACACTTTGACCCATGAGAAAATAAATATGAACTGAGAGAAACACATCCAGGTAAGCCAATGCAGCATCCAGGTTGGCACAACTGAATACCTGTTGACGGCCCACACCTCCGCAGAAGCTGGAGGACAGACGCTGCTGGAGCTGCTTCCCACCTGCCACGTTGCAACCTGCACTGGTCACCATCCTCTCACCCTACAGTGGTGAGAAAGAGCAACGGGGGCGCCACCACCAACTCCCTTACCAGCTCTCTGCCTGCTTTCCAGGATCACAAAGAGGCCACAGAAGGGTGTTTCTTTGTGTCAGGTGGGGTGGGAAGGTGCGAGAAGAAGCCAGGTGCTGTGAGCCCCTATGATTTCCAGTCCCAGCACCACCACTGTGTGCACCAGCCCCCAAGATGTGCTCAGAGGCTCATATCTCAAGGAAAACCAGAATGAGGGAGAGGCAAACTTCACAAATTACCTCTGTCTGTCCTCCTGCCCTGTCTAGATACTTGGAAGCCCCTCGTCCTGGAGCTTTCTGTCTCATGGCTGGGAACCTTTGCATCTTTGGTTGCATCTTTTGGCCTGAAACAGTTATATTTGTACCCAAGGGTTTCTAATTAAAAACAAGTGGCTTACAATGTTAAAGCCTAAACCATAGCAGGGATGGAAGCAGGAGAACAATTTCAGAGATGTTTAAAGAAATATTCTTGTTTATTTCTGCACAGAGAATAAGGAGATGCACATCCTTTCTTGAAAGTAGAAGGAAACACTGCAGAACTCCATTTATCTATTTCAAAAGAAGAAAGAGTTGAGTTAGCATAAAAACCTGCTGAGATCCATAATGTGGGATTCAAAGAGCACAGGAAATTTCAGACCTCATTTTTAAACCACTTGGGCTAGTCACACTTCAGTGTGCTGTACTTTAATGTGAATAAATGTACAACTTTTGTCCTCAACAGGAGAAACTCTCATCATGAATTATATTACACAGTCTCTACAATCTTCACTCTGTATATTGTCAAATATGGTTTCCTACACAGGAAAGAGTGCATTGGCAGGAAATTTATGCAAACCGCTGTAAGGTACATTAAAATACAGTTGCTTAAGATGCACCGTAGTGAATAATCCATTAATCCAATATTTTCATCGTGCATTTGAAATGCAGTTGTTTATTATCAGAGGTTCTGCACCAACAACTAGAAATGTAATTTGCAAGGAATTAATGCAGCACAGGGCAGCCTATTTGCCAAGTTTCATTCAGAACTGTTGGGGAAGCGCTTGTACAGGAGCAGAGTTGTCATGGTGGAGCAGTTAGAAAGCTGGGCTGGGACTCGGGAAATCTGGGTTCTAATCCCTACTCACCCATGAACCTCACTGGAGAGACTGTGGGCCAGTGACTGACTCTTAGTCTAACCTACATCGCAGGATAATTGTGAAGATAAAATGCGGAGGACACGTAATTTGCTTTTCTTGCGAAGGGAAAAAGGTGGGATATGAATATAATAATAAATAAGAAAAAAATATCTGTGTGAACAAAGGTACTTCATATAGCAAACCTATTTTTCTAGGGTATCTCATTATTCGGGAACCCCTGAGAAAATATGCTTGTGTTATATGTTTTGGCTTGCCATTCCCAAAATTCCTCAGCTGATCAAGAACTCCCAAATTTGCCTGAAAGCCCAGTGGTTATCTAGGAAGAAGCAAACTGCTCTGAGTAATTTGGCTAGCCCCGTCACAGTTCTTTGGGCTTCTGACACAGATGTGTTTCTTCCATTCATTCCCCATCTTTCCCCCTGCCTTTGACCTCCTGAATTCTAGTTTAGATAAGACAAGCTCAGGAGCACAGAGCTCTCATGGAGGCTTGCTCTGGCCATGACACCAGCTTCTTCTCCACCCCACATGCTCACCAGGGCTTTCCCTTCCCTTAAACCTGTTTTTATAACCTGACACACCCCTTCCTGTCACCTCCACCATCCTCAGCCATGCAAAGGTCCCCTGTCCCCATTCCCTTTGCTGTCTTTATGCTTGGAACTACTTCTTAGAACATCTGTGTGTGACTACCTCCCTTATTTCATGTCCCTTCTCAAAACTCACCTTTGCAGGAAGTCTTTGGATCAACCCCATCCCCAGGCCGTCTACCATACTGTAGTCAAGCCAAAGTCCCTGTGATTGAAATAACCTTCCCTTGCTTACCCATGCCAACATTTACCTCTTCCTCTATTGCTTCTAGGGTGGCCCTGTGTCCTAATTTTCAGAGGGCAGACTCTAGCTGTAAGATTTCCAGAAGACAGTCCTCCAATTCAAGGGCGATCCAGTCCAAATTCCATGCCAACATAAACACTGTGAAAACAGAGAGAAAGAACCTGAGATTAGTCATCAACAGTCAACAGTTCCTGGGCAGCTGCCCCAGAAGCTCACTGGGTCTTCCCTCCTACACTGACATGTATTTCTATTGAAACTATAGCAATGACTTCTAAATTTGAATCTATACTTTAGATTCATTATATATACTTCATTATATTTCTACACTCCCCAACAGGAAGCATACAGAGGAAGGTTTCATGATTAGCATGTACAGTTCAATCAGGAGATGTGCTCCATTGGGTCTTATGGTCTCAAGCCATGGAAGTGTAAGCAAGCCAGAATATAAATCAGCACTGCACATTTCATGTACACCTTTGTCCTCTCTTTCTCTCTTTTCCTGATGCATTTTCCCTTTTTTTCCAGTAACGTATAATTAGCTAAACTGGTTGTCTCACTGTGTCTGTTTTACACGGTTAGCCCCCTGAGATAGCAACCTGTCTTGCATGTCCTTTGTAAAGGACCTTGTACACAGATGGTACAATAAAATCAAACACAATAACACCATGAAGGTAAGGAAGGAATTAAAACATATGAAGCCTTGGATCATAAGAACCCTGAGTAGAAGGAAGTTTCCAGAAGGGGATTCTTCTGGAACCTCTCCCACTGCACCCTTTGGGCAGGCCCTAAATAGCCTAGTCAGGGGGTCAAGAGATGGGGTGCTGGACAAGGGTGAAATCCCCCAAGTTGGGAGGAGGCACCTTGGGTGACAAGAGCTCCATTCATGCAAGCTTCCCGTGACCACTTCTGTTCAATTTTCCTTCTCCCACAGCAGCCTCTCTCTGCCCACTTCTCAGGAGAGCCAAGCAACATCACTGCAGAAGCAAGGAAGGAATGGAAAACTCCCTTTCCATGAATTTCCTTTTGTTGATCGTTCTTCAGTCAAGGTATCTACACCTCTGCAAAGCCACTCATCTTTTTAACATCCACCTTGGACCTTGGGTCCAAGACTGTAATTTGCACATTAATCAATCTATACTTCATTTAGCAACAAGTCTAAATTTTTCTGGTCTAAGACATGATCTACTGGACTCCAACTTCACTGGGAGTTCTTTTCTTTTAAAGACCACTGTTTTCTAAGAAGAAACTCTCAGGATATTTCATTTCTTGGCAGCCCTGCTCATACATAAAACAAATGAATGCCTATCAGAGTACTTTTCCATATAGAATCAAAACTGTCCTTCACTAGAATGAAATTTAAAATAATGTGTTTCATTCCTAACGGAGTTGGAGTTGCAATCATTTCTTACATTGTTGTGATACTAAAACCTCAGAGGATTCTCTGTTCCAAACCAAGAGTCAGATTCAAAAATAATTAGCTATTTTAATGCCATTGTCATATTTCTGTTTCTGCCATTGGACAGAACAGTTGTACCTAGCGCTAGTACCACCTTTGTCCAATTGTGGTAGAACTTTATAGGGCAATAAAGTCTAAAACATGATATGAAGATGTTCTGGTGGTAGACATGAGTTGATAGGCATTTTTCAAGGTACAGATAAGAACCGGTTCCTGTTTAGAGAGCAAAGTTATTTGTGATCATGCCAGTACCTAATGATATAACACTTGGCTGTAAGACTTTTTCTATCTAATCAAGCATAGGATTGTACCCCAAACGATATAATGACATCATGCAATCAGTTGCTGACCATGCAATCATACAAATGAAGAAATATGAGCAAACTGTTAATAATGAATGTGAACAGAGGTTTATTTTCCTCTGTGCAGAACATAGTCTGGTGAAATATGGTGCAGCAACCTTGCTGAACCAGATCAAATCTGGGATCTGCTCAGTGCCTGGATCTAGGCATGCAGGCATCACTTGAGTTTCTCCCACAGTTTCTACTGCCAGAAATGGGTGGTGCTTTTGTGTACCATCAATGACCCTTTGATCATGTTATCATGCTAAATTGAATGGAAGGGGCAATCCAGATCTAAAACCTGATCTGAAAATGTTTTGTGGCAGGTATGGAAAGAGAAGGCAAATGTTTACTTTGGATAAACTGATGGGTGCCACTGATGGGTGTCATTTTCTATCCTGCATGCCCAATAGGATGCCAGCAGAATGGAAATAGTTGCAATTGCAGCATTGGTTCGTATCTAGGTTTAGCCTGGCCACTTTTACAGCACTAGAAGCCCCACTTTTATTGGAAGCATTTCTTGAAGCTAGTAAAGCAAAGTGGACCATGATCCATTTTAATAAATATAAATCATGAGTTAATAAATAAGATATCTGGGTTTTAAGCAAGAAAGAAATGTGGAATTGGATTATCCATTCTAGATCTTCCCTTTGGCTCCTGTATTGGTCATGTCTATGGATCTTAGACTGTATCTTCAACAAAAACTTTTGTTTTCTGTCCACTGGGCACCACAATGCCTCTTTAATCATGGATTGTCTCATTCAACTAATTGCTGGTGGTAAAATTGAGCTAATGCTTCTTTTAAACATTTTCTTTGGCAATATCTAGTAGCTGCTTCTTTTGAGGAAAAGGAGGAGGTGCATAAATTTTCTGCTGGGACAGTCTTTAATAGTTACTGATGCATAGACTCTTTTACATGATTTACCTGCTTCATGGAAATCAATCGATCGGAGAGCCAGTGTGGTGTAGTGGTTAAGAGCATGGGACTGGGACTCAGATGATCTGGGTTCTAGTCCCTGCTCAGCCATGGAGCCAACTGGGTGACCTTGGGCCAGTCACAGACTCTCAGCCCAACCTACCTCACAGGGTTCTTGTTGTGGGGATAAGATGGAGGAGGAGAATGATGTAAGCTGCCTTGAGCCCTTTGTGGGAAAAAGGCAGGATACAAATCCAAAAATAAATAAGTATAAATGGATTTCCCACTACCTCTTCATTACTAACAGACTGATACTACAACAATGGAAAGACAAAGGCTCACCTCAGATAAAGTGATGGACTGATGGCCTTATAATGCTTTCAGCATTTGAATGGGCTACTGAATGCCTCTCTCTATGTTTGCATGCGCACGCGTGCATGTGCGCACACACACACATGTTTTATATGCATTCATTGCTTTAAATATGTGCAAATGTATGTGCAAATTAAAAAACTGAAAAAATAAGAAATATGATGCAAGCCCTCACACCTTTTCCCTTCTGCCATAGTTCTCCCTTAAAAACAACTTCATATTTCACCAGGACAAGGACTATCAACTTCACACTGCCTTGACACCCCTTCTGATTTCCAGAACAGGCCAACACAGTACTTCTCAAGTATACGAGTTTGCCCATAGCTTAGAGAGCTTCCCAGCCCCCTCATCACTCCCCATAATCAGCACTAACAGACAATTTTTTACTGTTACTTTATTGCATCTGAAGACTCACTTAAGCAATTAACCCCTTAATCTACATGTGCCCCTTCTCCTCCACGTGACACTTCCTGCGATTTTCACATTTCTAATGGCTGTGACTTTGGCATTCACTCTGCTAATGAAGCGACTTGTTTCATTCACACTCCCACTATAATGCTTTCCTCTAATTTGGTGACCTAAGAGCAGATATTAGGAAAAGTAGGAAACAGCCTTTGAAAAACTCATTAACACAATTCAGGACCGAAGAAGATTAGCAAACATGATGGGAATTAGCAAATGAAAACTAAACCTTGCAAAGATGCCAGGAACTAATCAACAACAACAACAACTTCTGCTGCGTTCTTGTTTAATTTCTGGTTAGTAAAATAAACTCAGTCCAGCTTTGCCAGTATCATAGCGTCATCATTTCCGTTTGCACCAAGCGTTCCCTACCCTAAGATGTCGTTCTGAAATCAGTGGGGAGTTCTTCCCATCAAGTGGGTATAGGATTGCATCCTGAATCTCTTCAGATTTCTGCTCCCATCTACACCATCTGAAGCATGTGGGGAGCTACAGGTCTTTTTTCCATCCAAATTTGCCTAGGATTGCACAATAACTATCTCCTGCACTGGTATAGATCTGAACTGCTTCAATCATGGAGCCCAGTCCACAGAAATCTGGCCAAACTACAGCTGCAATTTCAAACACATTAAATACACATTAAAGGTGTGCATCTGGCATATCAGGAAATTGCTCACTTCATTTTGGACCAGTGTGGAAACTGTCCACTTCAGCTTGGGCACTGATCCCAGGCAGAAGTCAGAGGCTTTGGTCCTCCCATTGACTACCATGGGAAAAAATAGCTGTAACTGCTATTTCTCCTGGTCAGAATTTGATAATATTTTCTGGCATAGTAGCCCCTCAGGGGTATTAAGTCTAGCAATCATCAGAAAAAGATCTTTGCAAGATCTTTGTGCTATGTTCCTTTATATTTTGATTTTTTTAAAAAATGAAAATGCCTTCAGCTTTTTATTCCTTGGCAAAATTAGATGAAAATGGGATGGAAAGCTGCTCCTTCTGAATGGGCCATGCCAACCAATTGGCAGGATGATATCTTCCAGAATGTTTTTGTGCAGGAACACCCTATCCCCCCATGTCCCTTATGAATCTGTGCTGAGAAAATGGCAGAAAGCCTAGAGATAGCCCTCAATAAGAGTCGTACATCATTTCAGAAGGATCAGTGCAGGCATATATATGAAGGGGAAGCCCTCAGTTTTTCCAGTTCCCCCTCCCTAGTGCCATTGTTTGAAAGTGCACTATGGGTTCATAAGGAAACCCCCAGCCAATATACCTGGAAATTGAAGGTCTGTCTCATGGCTGCATCCTTGCCCTTCCACAAAACACAGTGATTGTAGCCTCGGGTAAAACATGCTATAAGATTAGAAGGTGGACCTAACTGACCCTTGGCTGCATTCCTTCCTTCCTTCTCTTTCCCCCACTTATAATTAGCATTTTATAGAAAAGAAATGGGACCACACTAGCTCTGTGTATCCCTGCAGCATGTGATTGGTATTGAAACCTTGTTCATGTAAGGGAAGCATGAGATCCTGAAGACAGTGATTCAATTCTACTGGCCTTTGAGCTTCATTCCCACTAGAATACGTAAGGCACT